ATTTTTAGATAATCAGGAGAATCCTGTGCCTCCAGACCCAAACTGGGAAAATTGGGAATGCTCTGTGTCCTTAATTTTGGGAAAACTGGGAGAATCCTGTGCCCCCAGGAATCAAAGAAAGGGGGGTCTGGAGGCTGGAAAACCGGGAATGGCCTGGCAGGGGGTCCCAGTGCCCAGGAAAAAAGGGGTACAGGGGGATCCCAATAATAATAGGGCAGAGCAGGAGCAAACAATGGGATGAGGCTCCAAAGTGCTGATTTCCAGCAGCAGGAAGGCGGGGAGAGGGCAGGGAAGTGCCCCCAGGGAATGGGATCCCAGAGCAGATCTGCTGGTCAGGGCCAGAGTGGGAACTGGGAACAAGGATTTTGGGAATGCAGAGCAGCAGGAGGAGGGGGGTTGCCCTGCCCATCCTGAGCTTCCCAGAGCCCAGTAACTCCCAGTATGAGCCCAGTCACCTCCAGTATAAGCCCAGTTGCTCCCACTATATCCCACTTGCCCACAACATGGTCCCAATTGGCCCCAGTGTAATGCCAGTAACTCCCAGTGTGAGTCCAGTATGATCCCAGTCTTCCTCAGCAGGGTGCCAAACACTCCCAGTTGCCCCCAGTGTAGACCCAGTCAGTCCCATTTGATCCCAGTTGCTGCCAGTGTGGTCCCACTCACCCCCAGTATGGTTCCAGAGACTCCCAGTGTGGGCCCAGTTTCTCCCAGTATGATTCCAGCTGCTCCAACTGTGGTCCCAGTCTCCCCAGCATGGTTCCAGTATCTTCCAGTTGATGCCAGTTTGCTCCCAGCATGGGTCATGAAGCTCCCAGTAACCCCCAGTGAGGTTCCATTCACACCCACTGTAATCCCAGTTAGTTCCAGTATGGTCCCAGTCCCCTCCAGTATGATCCCAGTCACTTCCTGCCATTCCCAAAATGAACCCAGTATCCTGCCAGTTCCTTCCAGTCACTCCCAGTATGATCCCAGTTCCCTCCAGTGTGGTTCAAATTGCTCCCAGTATGAAACCAGTCATTTCCAGTATGATGCCATTTGCTCCCAGCATGGTCCCAATTGCTCCCATCAGCCCCAGTATGATGCCAGTCACTCCCAGATGCTCCCAGTATTATTGCAGTCACTGGTTCCAGTCACTCCCAGTATGATCCCAGTCTCCCCCAGCATGCTCCCAGTGACTCCCAGTTACTTCCAGCATGATCCCAGTTGCTCACAGCCACTCCCAGTCACCCTCAGTGTGGTCCCAGTGACTCCCAGTTTGGCCCAGTCACCTCGAGCATTGTTTCAGTTGCTCCCAGTCTGTCCCAGTTGCCCCCACCATGGTCCCAGTTGCCCCCAGCCTGCTCTTTGTCCCTGCCAGTGTGATCCCAGTCCCTCTCAGTATGATCCCAGTTGCCCCCAGCATGGTCCCATTTGCTTCCTGTTCCTCCCAGTGTGGTCCCAGTTGCAACTACTTGCCCTTAGCATAGTCCCAGTCACTGCCAGTACGATCCCAGTCTCTCCCAGCAGGTTCCCAGTCACACCCAGTTTCCCCCAGTATAGATCCAGTTACTTCCTCTTGCTCCCAGTTGCCCCAGGCATGGTCCCAGTTGCTCCTCAGTTGATCCCAGTCATTCCCAGTATGGTTCCAGCCAGTCCCAGGATGGCCCAGGTGGCTGCAGGATGCACCCAATCCTTCCCAGTTACTCCCAGTTGCTTCCAGCATGATCCCAGTTTCTCTGAGTTGCTCCCAGTAGCCTCAAGGTGTGGTCCCAGTTGC